CACCACTGTTCAAATCGGAAAACAAGAAGGCTAGGAGGACGATAAAGAAGAAGGTTGTGAAACTCACCAGAAGACGTCGGAAACGGAGTTTTTTCAGGAAAAACTTTGAAAAATGACTCGCACCGGAAGGACCAGGAGTCAACAATGGGTTTTTACTGGCTGAGGTTTTAAGAGAAGATGCTGTCAACGATGGCTGAGGAAACAAAAACTCCGGCGAGCAGATCAGAAAGGCGTATTCTGGGTCAGAGATCGGAATGGCAAAACGAAGGAAACCGGAGAAGAACCCCCTTTATATAGGGGGGAAAACTGTCATCATTGGGCGGGAGAACCAAAACAGCGCATTTAATGCGCACGACATCCCAAGACGGGGAAAGCTGCTCGAGGCCATAATGAAGGACGGATGGCAGTTGGAAAACCCTTCGTCTCCTTACAACGCGTGTCCTCGGTGTCAGAAGATCGAAGGCTGGGGGGCAGTTGATGGGACTCTTCTGAAAAGCCCTAAGATGAAGACACGTGTCCTCGGGATATTTGGAACAGTGTTGCCTGGATGTAAGCACCATCGGCGAAGAGCGTCCTTTACCCCGAGGTACCTCTCATATAGGATCACACATTCGGTATGTTATACAACAAACACGTGTCCTCGGTCACACGTGTACCTCGGGGACACACCACCCCTTGGTCCCGAGGTGAGCCTTTCCTCGGCGCCGAGGGTCACTCCATCCTGGACGCTTCCTCTACTCCCGGATAAGGCTACTGACATACTGGACATCAGCCTATGCCAGTATGGATTAGTCATCATGACCTCTTCTTACACAAGTAATGTCAGAACGTGCTGGAATACCGACGTAACAGCCAATAAGGGATGGACGCGTGGCAAATAATGTCACATCCGAAGCAGACAAACCGCATGCCGCTGCTGACACGCGACTTGGGAAAGCAAACAATTAATTACACCCTTCTGTTGACGAGACCGCATTTAATGCGGTAAGGTTCGGATATGAAAGGCAATAAATGCTCCTATTACAGAGCATTTATTGCATCCTTCCCGAAAGGAGCATATTGTACCGTCGGCGTCCCGACAACTCACCATTGATTGCTCGGGACCCCGAGCAATCAATTAGAGAAGACATTCCTCATCAAATGATTACACACGCTACCTATGCCTGATGATTACCTACTGACCACACTGACAGCAATCATGATCTTCTAAGGTATAAATACCCCTCCCAAAAGACAAAGCGGGTATGCAATCTCAAACTCTCAACTACGAAATATCCTTCTCAGTGTTTTCTCCTTCCTCTCTCTCATTCAAAGACTGACTAGACCGTCGGAGGGGATACGCCGGAAAACACTCCGGCGCCCTTCTAACTTGTTCTCTTTTGTCCCAGGAAATACCTTTCGCACGTACAGGATCGTTCCTCCTTTCCCAGGATCTTCCTTTACCGTTCCAGATTACCACCGTTCCTGGTAGGCTGTTTCGAGCAGTGTGTTTGGCCACTCAACCGGCTCACCCAAAGTTCACCAGGGGAGAGATCTGTTCCCAATATTTTATATATATCGTGCAGGATCAAGCCCGCACATAAACAGTGAAAGATTAGAGCAAGGGTTCCAACTATAACTAACAAAGCATGTTTGGATGTATACTACAAATGAAATAATTGCAAGAGACTTTGAACTTATATCATATATCATTTGGGGTGGACCTACTTAGGCCACCGAGAAAATGATGACCTAAACCTAACTGTCCATTCATGGCCAGCCATAGCTCAGTATCTTACTATGCAAGCATATCTATCTATATGTCTCCCTAGCTAGCAAGAACGAAACGTGACATTTGGTTCTCCTCCACCTACCTAAGAGCCAAAATTAGTCAGTTCTTATGGGTGTTTGTATAAAAGACAATGTAGTGTTTTTTGGATGTAGTACCATGTACAACACTTTGGATCGATGAATTCTACCTAGTATATTTATTCCACTTGAGTAACTTTTGCAACTAGTAATGAAACTGGATTGAAACTCTTGAGATTTGACAAATTTCTGTAAAGAACACAACTAAGCTATTGAGGCGCGGAGCGAGAATTCCATATGAAGGGGCAGTGGCCACTACCTATTGAACAGATCTTGCCATTATATAAATTTTATAAAAAAATTAAGGGGGCAATGTATCATTTTTATAACTACCATGACCTTTTAACATATACATATATATGTGGAGCCCCCCCCCCCCCCCCCCCACCCCCCCAAAAAAAAAAAAACGTAGCTTCGCCTCTAAAGCTAGTGGAAGGTTTGGCACCGAAAGTTAGTAATTTTTCTCCGGTGTAGACTTTCATTCACCGTGAATTTCAAAATAACGGATTGAATGTGTAGTTTGTGATGAATTATTGTTAAATATGATCCACAAAATTGGAGCATCTTGATGAGAGTGATCACAAAGTTTAATAACCATCGGATTTCACTTGGGTATGGACTTGAGACTTACAATTATACCCATCAATGGGATCGAGGAGACTTTTTAAAAAAATAATCTAATTTTCTCTAAGAAGTTGATATCATGAATTATAATTGTTAATAGTAAGTCTTAATATTAATTAAAACCCATCATCGATTTAATAATTATAATGCATTAAATCAATAAATATTATTTATAAATTAGGCAAAAATAATATTTTCTTTTCTTTAAAAACCTTTTAGCATGCTAATTACTGCATGGCCGCTGACAATAGTTAAGATTTTAACAAGAGCAAACAGTAAACGCGACTTCATAGGGCTTTCGGCTTTTGAGGAACGGGCCGGGCCGAAAGCAATATCCAAAATTGCAAGGATACCTACACAGTTTTATAAAATTAGTGGGTGCACACTTGTGTTGTATGTAAACTATTTTGAGTGTAAAATATTTATGTATTGAAGGTGTGGAATACTTTCAAAAATAATTAATCAACTTTGTATTCCATATTAGTAACAAATCAACTCTTGTGAGTTTTTTTTACACTTAAACACAGATGTATTTCAATTATTTCATTATTTTTTTTGCATATTTGAAATGAGAGTGACTATGATCATTTTTTGATAAATAGATATTATTTCAGTACAAAGGAATTAATAGAGTCACTCTACCTAAAACTTGTAATCTTAAGAGATGTTACCTTCGCACTCCAAAATCCAACGCAATCATTTTGTTTTGTAAGAAATTCCAAGCAAAGTAAAAACCATTTCTTAAGTAATTGAACAAGTTCGAAAAAATTTGTATTTAAGAAGCATACTCACTATTCGTCGGCATACTCATCATCGCTGTCAAATATCTAATTATATATGGCAAATTCATAAAAAAACAAAAACATCAATATATCATACTAAATCTAATTTTTAAGCTTTAAAATAAAAAAGGTCAAGATCATAGAAATTCTTAATAGACCAAACCAAAATCATAAAAATATAAATATAAAGCAAACCTAGAGAGTAAAAATGCCAAAAAAAAATAAACTCAACATTTTTACAAGGAAAAGGGTTTTTTAGAACTTAATATCAGTCTTAATTTAGTGCTTCTATGATCCTTGCAACCCATGAAATGAATATGATGAAAGAACCAAAAGCTAGAGAAAGAGTCGAGGTTAACCATGAAATATGGAAAAGAATTCCTAACCTTTTTGTTGTGTATATATTGAAGATCGCATCAAACCCCCCACAATGTTGCAAAGTACATATTAATCTTGACTCTCTTTACTGCTTTCTTTTGAAGATCTTAAAAACTATCATGGATAGGAATGATGTTGATTAATGGGTCAAAACATAATTATTGTGGATGATAAAAAAAATGTTTTGTTCATTTTCGATAAAGATTTGACAATTTGAGAAGATAAACATAAAAGTCAAACAATTATAACCAAAGAAAAAAATTGGTAGATGAAGGGCTTGGGATGGGAGAGGAAAAGGTTTGTCTTGACATTAGTGTTAATTATCTATTTATTCATTCACATAATTAAGTTTAGAGCAATAGTTTTATCACAAAAGAACATTAAAAGATATAAAATGATATGATTGTCAATACAAGAATAATTACAAACTGGTGAAAGGAAGGAGAATACGATAGAAGTGCCAATTTATTACCAGAATTGAGAGTTTTTTTTTTTTTTTCATGTTTTGTAACAAAGAGAAAGATATAAGGACTATGATATTCAATGAATATAAAATATGAATAAAAATAACTTAATTATATTATTTAAGGATAAAAAAGAAAATTAAAATTTTGAAGGACAGTTGACATTTAGAATTCAATATATATATATATATATATATATATATATATATATATATATATATAGATTTATTCATTTATTTCTGGAATAGAAGTCACCTAAGAGTTAAATTAGAAAATATGATATAATTATTTTTATATAATTATTCGAGAATAGAAAAGAAAGATAAAATTAGTGTGACATTAACTTTGAAAGATAATGATAACATACTTACAGTTTTAGATGGTAAAATTGGAATAAAATTGTTCTTGATATTTTTAAGTATTATAGGAATAGATATGAATATAAATATAGATATGGATAGATTTAAAAAAAAAAAAAAAAAACGAGAAAGTGGAGTGATAAGTCTGACCCACCAACACTTCTATTCGAACATCGAAGGGGAGAGGAGGGAGAGAGAGAGAGAGACAGTAGTGCTTGCTCTCTCTGGTCTATGCCTGTTGGTCACCGGTACCTTCTGCCCTTTAATCTCTCCTTTTTTTTTTTGCCAAAAACGCCGTGTAATCTCTTCAATTCTGTTAATTTGGGCATAATACTTGCTCTTTCGCTATCAATCGCATGTATTATCTATTTATCTTTATTTCCCGATTGATATATTTGTTGATTGTGTTCAATTGTGGTGGTCTTGTTTTGTTTTTCTCAAGCTGTTTGCTTCTTTATTCTTCATAATTGCGCGATTAGCCTGTAATCTTATCAGATTTTTTTCTGGGTTTTATCAGTTGATTCAATTACATTCTACACAAAGAAATGATGGGTTTGGGGTATTTGGGTCATGGAGGGTCTGCCTCATCGTCGTCCAATTTATCGGCTTTAGCTCCACCTTTTACAGTTGATCGATCCAATTCAAAACTCAATTCAAACCCAATTGTGCATTTCACTGATTCACCATATGCCGCAGCCTTTGATGAAACCTGGCTATATCCCCACTCTACAGCTTCTAGACCTGATTTTGTTTCCAATCTTGACCCGGAAGTCGATTCCCCTAGTCTGCCTCTAACAAATGATTATCGGTACCCGGGTTCTCAGTCTATCAACCCACAAAGTCATTGGTCTACACTAAATCCTACTCCTAAAACTGCGACAGATGCATTTTCCTATCCTGTTGGAGCTAAACCGTATTATCCTCTTTATGTCTCACCAGTTAGTAATGACGATTCTCTATTGGTGGCCCCAAGGAACCTTGTTATGATCCACTGTTGAATTCTGGTGGTGCCCTCATGGATGTATCTCCTCAAGTCGATTACACTCGTAGCTTGTCTCCTTTGGAGTGTACGCCACAGTGGGGTGGCTTTTGGAATGGATTGCCCGATGAGAAGCGGGGTAAGCGTGTAGAACTTGATGGGAGTTTCTACTCAGTGGAGAAGAATATTTCTGGTTCACATGTTTACAAGAATTACATAAATCAAGGTATTGTCCCTTTAAGAATGTAATCATTTGTTGATATTAGCATATTTTGTTGGCCTAAGGTTAATTTATTGTAATGTGTCTCTCTGTTGCCAACATATACTTTTTTCTTCCTTCAAATATGCTCTCCTGTCATGTCCATATTTGCGCCATCTACTTCAGATTTTGTTTATCTCATTGATCGTGGCTTGCCTTTGGGTTGACGCAAGTGTAATGTTGTGCAACCTTGGGTTGTTTTTAATTTCCTTTTTTTGTGGAAGAATATGCTTGTGGTTATCAATTTGTTATCTTTTCCTTGAAAATTAATCGTGTATCAAAAGTGAGATACAAAGTAGTATGAAACCACCTAGCTGTTCTTCGTTTCCTTTTAATGTAATTATTGTAGGTGTAAGAAGTCATTTTAGACTGCCACAACGGGAATTTGCATAACTTGTTCTTCATTTCCGGTGATATAAGCTTTTGTGAGTTAGTCTAATTTTAGCCTCTACTGTTCCACAGTTTGGATTTCGAACTACATGCTTTGGCTTTTGGCCCCATTTTCTAGATCGTTTTTCTTCTGAAACCATGTGCATTGTAAGTAAAAGTAGAAAACTTGTTGAAATTGGAAAATCTCCATTTAACTTAGATTTATGTTTCCAGGCAACCAACCATAACTTTTCATGGTATGTGAAACAGGAGGGAAATTACAAAATACTATCGGTTATGAATGTTTGTGATTTACCTGAGCCATATATTTTGTTTATTATGGTCACCTTGGTCTGGACCTTTCTAAAGCTGTTCTTAAACGTTTTTTCAATTTTCTGTCATAATTCTTGTTGTGCAGGAGTTCATTCTGATGAGGAAAGAGCAAATATGAAGAAGATTGTGCCATTTCACTGGGAAAATGTACCAATGTTTTTGGAAGAGCAAACCCTGCTGGTTCTTCAAGTACTGTGCAGTTGAATGATAAATCAGTACTCGGGCAAAATCTCAGCTTCTTTCCTTCCAAATCCTCCAAACAATCTACCTTGGGAGCTGGTTCACTACTTCCAGAATCTCATTCATGGCCATCAACTCTAGAATCAGCCACAAATTCATTAAACCATCAAAATACATACAATTCTCATCAGAAATGCCTCCAACCCTTTGATTTGTGTATGAATGATTGCGTGTCGGTGACAAGATCTTCACCTACCGTTGTCATTAGATCACCTGTAATTGGGACAACTACTTCACCACCAAACATAGACATTAAAAATATTGCAGCTGTTACCCATGAAGAATTTGGCAGCCATAATTGCTCAAAAGGAAAGGAGCCTCACCTACCTCTAAGTTCTGATGGCAAAGAAGGTTTCTTGGGTACAAGCCGACTCAGCTGTCACACAGAAACAAATAACCACATCTGTGTTACATTGTCCTCGACAAATGAAGACCTGTCAAACAAGCCACTTCTTAAGGATGCCGTTGATCATAGACCCAAAGCAAGATCTGGATTTCAAGTTCCTGATATAACTGTCCCAGATGGCATCGCCATCGCCTTTGATGGTACTGGGTTCAAGTCTAGTGAGAATTCTTCAGAAAGTTTAGATTCACCCTGCTGGAAAGGTGCTCCAGGCTTTAATTTTTCCCCATTTGAAGTTTTTGAAGCTTCGGCTAAGCAGAGCCGTCCTAAAAAAATAGAAGTTGGTTTAAATCTTCAGGGCACTCAGAGTTTCCCTCACGCTTCCTTTCCAAAATCCTTTGAAAATAGTTTGCACAATCAGAATGGGCATATAGATAATGGTATGTCACTTTTTCCACAGATAACTCCAGATACTAATTGCCTGGTCAAAGAGCACAGGTCAGGCGATGCTGTGAAAGCAGGAGATCAGTGTCCAAAACTGGATGACGGCATAGGAGTTCTATCTTCTGATTTACCCTATGAATCAAAGGGTGAGTGTAACACTAAACCTTCTCACAGTGCGAAAGAGAGTCACGAAGAGGAAGATTTTACATGTACAAAGCTCAAGTTATGTGCTGGTGTTGCAGAGACTCTGATGAATACAAATGATGCCTCAGAAGATGGCCATGTTCCATTCCATGTTGTGGAAAATGTCTTATCATCTTCACCCTCTTCGGGAGAAGATGCTACTAACCTTGCAAAACCTCATGTGATGGAATCAACGCCCAAAATGGGCATTCAATTTGTGGTTAATGTAATGCATGACCTTTCAGAATTGCTTCTATTTTGTTGTTCCAATGATATGTGGGGACTGAAAAAACAAGATTGTGAAGCCCTTCAGCATGTTATCAACAGACTTGATGCATGCAGGTCAAGGAGGATTATAAATGTGATGCCACCTCAAGAATCACTGTGTCCCCAGCAAGGAGCTTTTCATGAAGTTCCCGAGTCAACTGATCTTCATATGGTGTGTTTTTGGTTTTCTTTATTCTCTTTAAATGTTATATGCAGACAACTGTTTTGGCATATTACAATTTGTTGTCAATATTTCAAATTTGATGGAAATTATTCTGGCATCAAGAATTCACGCACGTGCTATTTAGTTATCATTTACAGTTACAGGTATATATATTCGACAATTTTGTGATTCTATTATATGAATGGCCTACATTCTCTTTTTGTTTAGCTGTTTTCTATTTGATTATTGTTGGTGTAGTTATATTCTTGAATTTTATATTGGATACGGTATTAATTAAGTGATAGGTATCTCTTTTTGCTGTTGCTGTCATAAATGTTGCATTCTTGTCTCTTTTGGTGAATAAAGAACATATTTACATTGGACTCGGTTGATTGTTAATTGATTTCTACATGTACTACAGAGAAATAGTATTTTGATTCTTCTAAACATATATGTTAGCTAAGTAATTTTTTCTCCAGGGTGCCAGTGGAAGCCAGCCTCGGGTGACTAATGAAGCAGCTGCAAATTGGCATGGTGCACTTGATTTTCAACATATGTATGAAAAGAAGAGGGGCAAAAATGTTTCTGGTAAGAAAGTTGAGAAATTTCCAGATTTTGTTTCTTCGAGGGATGAAGAAGTTTCTAAAGATGATAACATGATCCAGGTATGCTATTTCTGCCAGTTCTTCAGTGAGAAAAAAAATACGAAATGATCATAGTTATTCTTGTGAAAGAAAGAAAATAGAGAACTTTCTCATCTTATTTTTTTCATTGGTCATGAATCCCTGACTTGCAGGCTATAAAGAAGATCCTTGATGAGAATTTCCATGACAAGGAAGAAGGGCAGTCACCAACTCTCTTGTATAAGAATCTTTGGCTTGAGGCAGAAGCTGAATTGTGTTCCATTCGTTACAGAGCTCGCCTTGATCGTATGAAAATAAGGATGGACAAAAGCAAGTCAGACACAGAAAAATGTTAGATTCACTTACTTTGAAACTTTTTTTTGCTCACCTTTTATGGTCTCTAATTTTTTTTCTACATCAGGTGTGTCCGAAAATACTACTGTTGAAGAGCAACATTCAAGCGTGGAGGTTTTTCCTAATCCAAACATGCCTAGCACATTAAGATCTGAGGCGAAAGAAAGCCCATCACTGAAAGACCCCATCCAGGATTTTCCTAGTTCTAGCTCAACCAGCCATGTTGATGATGTTGAGGCTTCTGTCATGACCAGATTTAATATCCTAAAATGCCGGGATGACAATACAAATTCCATTAACAGGGCAGAGCAACCACAGGCGAAAGAAAGCCCGTCACTGAAAGACCCCATCCAGGATTTTCCTAGTTCTAGCTCAACCAGCCATGTTGATGAGGTTGAGGCTTCTGTCATGGCCAGATTCAATATCCTAAAATGTCGGGATGACAATACAAATTCCATTAACAGGGCAGAGCAACCACTGCCAGAGGTTGGTGACACTGGATTTGCAGGTAAGAGAAACCATTGGCCATTTACTGAATACCAATCAAAGGATGGATGCTTGGATTTGGCTGTGGGACCGCATCTGGAGCATGAGACTGGCAATGGTAGCGGAGACAAATTTGGGTCGTATAGAGATGGTTCTGAACATCTAATTGTCAGAGAGTTCCGTGCTTGTGTCAAGGATGACTCAGTGATCCAATCTCATATGAACAATAAGTTGGCTGACCAGTTTTTTGCTGGATGGTATGATAACTCTGCATCAGATTGGGAAAATGTGCTGAAGGATGAGTTTGCATTGCCAAAGTGAGGGACATAAGTTGAGGATCTGAGTAGTAGTCCTGAATAGGTAAACAGTTTCTACTTGTTCCCTTTTTGGTCCTAATGGCATTTATAAGTACTAACTGATGTATATTTGTACAAGTAGGAGATAATCTATGAAATTGTAAAAAGCTTTTGAACTCCAACCAGATTTTACACGAGGTACTCTTAATGTCCTTGAATTATCCTCTATTTGCGGTTTCCATGCTCAATGAGGTAGTAATAGTTTGTCTAGTTGAATGGGGTCTGGTACCAGTCAGCTTCCTTCCCTCTTCCCTCCCTCCCCCTCCATATATTGGTGTATGCCAAATTCCTCTTTTTCTTTTAAAGCGGCGGGCATAAGTTGGCTATGTTTAGTAAGAATGATACCCTCTATTTAGTAGGTTTCCTAATGTTCATGCTCTCAATAACGAGTACGCCCTCTTTTCTTAAGTCGAGGAGCATCCGTTTGGTGGTAACACCTAAGTGCCAAGATTTCTTTTTTGGTTAAATAGCAAGCAAACTAAACAGAAGTCATGTTCCATGGCCTTAACTCTTCAATTTAGCCTAGCCATGCCCACTTGGAGTCAACAACCATACAATGCAGATACCTCAATGGGCAGCTATCACTTCCAACAGATTAACTTGAATATTTGTGTCGAAAAAGAATGTCACTTTAAACGGATACCCAACATAAGCGAAAAACGATCATAGTATAAACCACCAAAATAGTGAAGGTATAGTTGACCAAATAGGTGTAGCTCACATGGTAGTTTGTGCTTGCAAAACAAATATTAAAAGTCAATTGTCTCTCTGACATCAGTTGTAACAAATCATAAAATGAGGAAAAATCAGCAATTGAACATCATGTAAAGCTTTCTTTTCAGATCCAAACAAAATAAAACAAAACAGGGGGTCCAAAGAATCGAAAATAAAGGTACCCTCATTTCCCAAGGTCATCAACAGAGAACAGCACTTCAAGGTCAACTATAGATCCTACCTAGGTGGTCAACTCCATAATAGCACTAACTATGTCTCCATTATGAGTTTTCAGAGCCTTGACAGCCTTGCTCCTCGACACCCCTGCCTGTGTCATCACCAAATCAATGTCACGAGGCTCCACACCTGTCTCATCAATTTCTTCCTCTTCCTCTTCCTCATCTTCCTGTGTTGCAGCGGAGGCGGCAGAAATGTCTGGCTTCGTCATGACAGATTCCATGTCTGGCATCCTGAACTGTTGGGCAGCTTGTGTCTGCAGCTGAGAGCTCAAGTCCTCAATCTTTGCCTCTCCAAATAAAATGTAGGTCTCAGAATTTGGGCTTTTGAATACATCAGGCTTTGATATGAAAAATAAAATCTGCAATACCATTAAATAACAGGTAAAAAGCCAACCATCACAGAAGCCAATCAGTAATACCAAGTAAGAATCACAAGGTGTACATTTTTAGTTCTCTTAATGGTGACCCTACTAACACCAGTAACAGGCTTCATGCCCAGCTTCAACATTGCCTTTCGACTCTTCTTCTCACTTCTGCTCTGTTTCGAACTTTCATTTGTACCTGCACAACATTCTCCAATCAATATAATTTGACAGGCAATCCTAGGAATATTCATTGTAATGTTCCACATTAGAATACCGTTGAACAAAAATAACTGAAAACACAACAAACTCACTCAGGAGCTAACATTCAGAAAGCAACTGCACTCTGCAGCATCAATCAATACAACTTAACAAAGCAGCATTTTTCAGCCAAAAAAGTAAGCTGGCAACCACAAAATTGCATATCCAGGAATAATGGCAAAAAAATGAAATTAATTAAGTGAAGTACCAAAAATCGTGCTGAAGAAAATGCACAAAAAAAATTCTGAGAAAACAAATCAGGTATCCAATGGTTACTGCTATAGATGGTTAATTGTTAATAATATGACGCCACCCTATAGTGATTACAAGCCTCCAGGCCCTCCACCACGCTCACCAACAAAAAAAAAAAAAATGGGAGACAGAGGACATCCATTAAGTTTATGAAGTGTTCTTCTACGTCTGCCATACCAGTTCATGAACAGCTAGTCATCATAAGTGGAACAAAACAAACCAAAATCCCTACTCATCTCCTAACTTCCCGGCATGATTCGACTATTAATTCTGCTGTTGGCCCAAAGAACAGATCAAATCCAACAAAATTATCACCACCCCAAATCAACAGAAAACCAATCCTCTTATTATACATACCACATATGCAACATTGTATCATAAGACTACACCAATCAAATGACAAGAAAAATGCTGCTTAATTATATCGAGTATATCGAGAATAGAGAGTGAAGCAACCTTGAGCACCATTCTCCTTGTCATCGTCCTCGTCGTCAGAATCATCAGCGTCGTCTTCGTGGTCGTCTTCTTCCTTCACGTCCTCGATCACTGGCTCATCGTTCTATAAGATAGTAAGTTCAGTAATAAATGAACATTATAATAAATAATAGAAGAGGGTAAGTTGTGCAAAGAAGTACCTGAAACTTATTCTCTGTATCAACTTCTTCGACCACAGGACCTGGCATGGTGGCTGAGTTTGTGGTGGTGTACTGAGCAGCGCCCTGAGGATGCCGTGAGCCGAACGGTCTGGGTGACGATGCGGGTTTTATTCTAGGGTTTCATCTCTCATGGGCCAACTATTCAGCCCATTTCAATAGCCCACAACCATTTACATGAACATTTCTTTCCTTTTATTTTTTGGGTTTTAAGGGACGGTACCTTTTTTAGAAATTATAGGACATAAAGTACCATTTTTAAAAATATAAGTTAAAAAGTACACGACCTCTAACAAATCTCTAAAATACCCCTTTCAGTAAAATGGAACCGATTCTTATATTTTTGCCTCCACAACTGAAATTAAGGAATCTTATTCTCGATGTTATGATTGTCCATTCTAATTCCTCCATCTTTAACATCATAGAAAGCACCCGCCTCAAAGGGAAGGAAAAAGTTGCAATCTGACATAGCGATCACCAAAACAAACTTCACACTATCACCCCTTTTCTAATCCAATCCCACCATTAACGTATCTGAAACCTTTCCTCTCTGAAAATCTCAACCATAAAAAATATTAAAGACCCACGTGAAAATCCATAGAGAGAGAGAGAGAGACAGAGACAGACAGACAGAGAAACAAAGATAGTGATGTCTGGTTTCTTGCTTCTCTCTAATTCAGACACCCTTTCTCTCTTGGAAGTTTAAATTATCAACAATCCAAAATAGGCTCTGCATATAGTCCAGGAATAGATTTTAGAGAGAGAGATAAAGCCTGTTTTCTTGATTCTTTTAAGGAATTGGAATGGACAATCATAACCGAAACTTAAGGCTGTTTTCTTGATTCCTTAAGTTTCGTTGATTCAAAACTTCATGTTGATCGCTGAATAAAATGTAAAAATTCGTTTGAATAAGTGATGAATTTTTTGATTGGTTCACTGTGAATAAGAGGAAATATCGGTATCAAACAGTGGCAACCATATCGAAATTCATTGCTGAAGAAGAAGATCGTTATGTTTCTCCCAACATTTTTATTTTATCTACTTTTTTTTCGTCAATTAACTTTCTACTTCTGGTACTTGGTACTACATGCACACCAAATGTTAGATCATTTGTCTAAAAAAAAAAAACAAAGAGGTCATATATATTGTGACATGTGTCATGTCAATGTATGCAGTGTGACATTAACTTGCATTAGTGTGATATTGGTTTGTAGCAATGTGACATTTTCTTATACTAATGTGACACTATCTGATAGTACTGTGACATTATCGTACGAGACAACAAATTATCATCTTAATCATAATCATCATTTTGATTATTACATTGTGTCATACGTTATGTCAATGTATGCAGTGTGACATTGACTTACATTAATGTGACGTTGATTTGTAGCAGTGTGAATTTGGTTTGTAGCAGCGTGACATTTTTTAGTACCAATGTGACACTGTCTTGTAGCACTGTGACATTATCATGCAAGACAGCAAATCATCTTCTGAATCAGAATCATCATCTTGATTATTACGATAATTCCCATTTGAGTTATCGTCATTAATATTTATCCTCACATGAACATGATTGACGTTAAGAGATCGTAATGATTTTTTTTAAAAAAAAAAAACATATGGACTATATACCTGATGCACTTTTTTCATTGCAACTAACTGGAATATGTTTGAAAATTCGGTTATGGAATGGAGTAAATGATAGAGGAAGAGGTTTGAATGAAAGAGGAATCGGTATGGAATGTTTGAATAAACGGTTGGTGAATAAGTAGTTTAAAATTCAAAAAAGATATAGCATAAAATTAGGAAACCGAATCCCTAATATAACTACCATATTTGTCTCCAATTAATAAAGGAAAAGGGTAATTTAGTAAGAGAAAAAATTACAATTTAGTAAAAGTGTACATTTTCATCAAATATTTACACATAAAGGTACCTATACACAAATATTTTACATTGAAGTACTTTTACACAAATAAGTATGAAAATGTGTACCTTTTCACAATTTTCCCTTATTTTTTGGTTTTCTTGAATGTCATTGAGAAAATTCAATATTATTATTACCTTCAAACAGTTATGAGCTCTAATCTCCCACCGGTCACGAGACTTTTGGATAAATGGTTGGATTCATTCATAATAATTGATATCAGAGCAAGTACCACGTCATGAGTTTGAGTCATACAAGGTGCGATTTATAAGCTAGATTAAAATGCCTTAATATTATATAGATTAATGTTAGTTGGACCTAAAAATCTAATATAATTTGCTGACATACTGATGTAGTTTCATTAGAATCATTGGATCAACACTAAGTTACAATATTTAATAGAGTCCACACCTTTGAATTAGGTCACAATAGCATTGCTCATATTATCTATGAGGATACTGATAGGTGAGTGAAACCGGAAAAAAAAAAAAAAAGGAGGTTATCATTATGTAGGCATAGTGTAGGCATAATGCTATGTGAACATCGACTGATTGATTTACCCAAAAAATTGTAAACAACCATGGCCTCAAATTTTCATACATAAATAAACACCGGAATTAGAATTCACAGAATTTTTCAGAATACGTGACTTAAATTCTAAGGCCTTATAATGACATAAATAAGAATTGCTCATGCTGAAGAAGAAACAAATTCATTCACAATAAGACTTGTCTTCTCCACCGGTTTGTCACAAAATAATGTTTGCCCCAAGGAATTAGTACATAGGCACAAAATAGAGGCTAAATGCCAAATTTAATGTTATAATCAGTTAAGCCATTCAAGTTATAATTAGTTACCCCTATTTTCCATTCAACTTGCAGCAAATTTTTTGCATAAAATAGCAGAGTATGCACAAATTTCAATCCATCAAATTTTAGGAATTCTTCCTTACATCCCTCTGCAGTCCAAGCAATTTCCGCTTGTTGATCATCAAGTCACCAGCAGATAAAATAGAAAACCCAGAAGTGATTTGTCTCTACTCTAAGAAGAAACCTTGGCAGCAGAGTTGTAAAGCGGCTCCTCAATTGGAAATCTTTTGTTTTTGTCTCATCAAATTCCTTTGAAACTTCCATGCTTCAGTGGCTTTGGCATGGCAGTGCCCTGATTGTCCAGTCCAATTCTTGCAAGGAGCAGTCGTATCACAAACGAAACAATAGCACTGCAATCACCCAACAATCATAACAATGCTTTACTCACAAAATTCAGAATATCATGAACATATTAGAGGTTGAGAAAAAAGATTACCAGCTCACAATGCCTCTCATGAGGTGTCTTCTCAATGGGATAGTTCAGGCAGACATGTCTTGAATGTGGATAGTCTCTACATGCCACCTATGGACCATCATCATCTCAACCAATCATTAACATCAAACAAAACAAAAAAAAGAAGAAAAAAGAAATCTGTCTGATAATTTTATAGACTATGTCCAATGGATTACTGGTCATTTGCTTAAACAGCCTCTCATCATCAGAAAAAACGAGGATAAAGGAAACCCTTTGTAAAAGAATGTTAAGATTTATATGGAAAAGAATTTGAGGGTTTACACCTGGCCTTTTTCGGCGATTACAGAGAGTTCAGGACTGGCTTTATTGCCAAGATTCTTAGACATGGAAAGCTTGGAAAGATTGATTGAATCATCATCATCATCATCAGGATCAAACTCTAGAATGAAGCAATCTTCAATCTCTTCAAACTCCTTCATTTGCACTTTCTTCTTAAGACAAAATATGGGTCTCAGTGGAGTCTCCTCTGGTTCCGACCTCGGAGAACATTCATCCACGTCTATATCTGTCACAGTGCCTACCTTGTCCGACGATGAAAAAATCTCAATAGCGTTCTTCAAGCTTCCATTGTCTTTGTCGCTCATTTTTCTTGTATCATGTAAATAATTGCATTGAAAACCCTAGAGATCTGAAACGACTATCAGTGTGAGTAACAGAGGAAGCTATTTTGAAATTGGGAAAAGACCGTTGAAGTTTCAAAATAGAGAAGAGGAATCGAAAAGAAGGGTAACAGAGCCGGGCCGCGGCCCACTAAAACAGCCCAGCTATTCTATTCAATTCAATTCATTTCCAATATCCATGCAATAATTTGGCATTATATAGCGAAAATTGGAAGTGAGTATTTCTGGATATATTTGTTTGGAGATAAGTCCTGTAAGGAAATTTATAAGGGGATAAGTCAATGTTTAAAATTATATGTAATGACTTAAGTCCACTTTATTTTTTTATTTCAAAAATATCATTTCTTAAAAGAAGTTAATCTTTTCTCTCTCATATCTATCTATATCCATATATAAGTTAAGAGTTTGACTAATATTAAAATTTTTCCTCTCTCTTATTTATCTATATCCATATATAGGTTAGGTATATATATATATATAGAGTAACATTAAAAATAAAAAATAGTAAAATTCAAGTACAAAAAAAATTACAATAAATTTGAATAGTAAAATTCAAATTCATATTAGTATTTTTTTTTATTATGTTATTGTTCATGTTACTGTTTTTGTTGAGTAAGTTACTGTTCATATTACTATTATTTTGAGCATGTTATTGTTTTTGTTAAACATGTTACTACTATTATTTTTTAAATATTAATATTCAATGTTACAATTTTTTTAATATTACTATTTTTTGTATTTGAATGATATTATTTTTTGCGTTTGAATTTGAAAGAAATAATTATTGTTAAGTATGTTACAATTTTTGTTAAGTATATTACTATTTTTGTTGAACATTTTAATATTTTTGTTAAACATGTTACTATTGTTATTTTTTAAAAATATTAATATTGAATGTTTCAATTTTTTTATGTTTAAATGTTATTATTTTTTTTGTGTTTAAATGCATTATTTTTATGTCTAAATGATAAATTTTGTTGTATTTGAATATTACTATTTTTTATTTTTAATGTTACTATATATATACCTAACCTATATATGAATATAGATAGATAAAAGATAGAGAAAATTTTTAATATTAGTCAAACTCTCAACCTATATATGGATATAGATAGATATGAGAGAACAAATATTTTAATGTTAGTTAAACTCCTAAGATTTAGGAGTTTTTAATTTTTAGTTTTATTTTATTTTAAAAGGAAGGATAATATGGTAAACTTGACAAAAAACGGACTTAATAACAAATAAGTTTTCTTGACGGACTTAATTCCAAACAAGTCCATATAGTAGGACCGGCTCCAAATTTCCCTATTATATATTTTTTAGTACCACACTATTTTTGTTCAGTCCTTGTGAAAAAATTTGTTATGTTATTATTTCATTCTATTTTATTATTTTCATATTAATAATAAAATAGAATGGAAGCCTAAACAACACCATGATTTAGATTTATTTTTGGTACTATACAAAGGTGAAGTCAAGAATTTTTTCAAGGGTTGACAGTAGACACATTTTAATTATAAGTTTTAATTTGTCCATTAATAAATAAAAATAATATGGTACCTTTGTGTTTTTAACATCATATTTATGCTTAAAGATTCACTAATTATAAAAAGGTCAAAAGTCAATATACATCGTTTAATAAAAATACAAACAAAAAATTTAATTATAACCCTTTAAACACAAAGCTAATTGCATCATTTGATGAGTGGACTAGCTTCTTTTTTTATGCAACTTTAATAGATTTGACTTGAGTGGAGTGGTGTGGGCCCATGAATCTTTTTATTGAAAAAATTGAAAAGGGCACGTCAAATCGGAGTTGATTGTAAAAAGGTGCACAAAAAAAAATATAGAATAAAATTTTTTTTAATTTTGATACTTATTTGTTTTGAAGTACGTTATTTAAAATTTTACATTTTCTTCTGACATTTATATCCTCTCTTGATCCATGCATATTTTTTTTTGAAAAGTGGAAACATTTCATAGTTTTATTGGATAAATTTAATATTTCGTATTTTTATATCTTCCCTTGATGCATGCATATTTTTTTTTGAAAAGTGATTTTATTTTTAAATTATATTTAATGCACTTTGATTCATGTATATTTTTTAAAAAAAGTAATTTTATTTTCAAATTATATTAATATTCGAACTTCATAATAGTGTAACAAGACATTTATACAAAATATTATACTATTACATTTTGTAAAATATACATTTTCATATACTTTCATTCAAAACAATCCTTTCTGTTTTGAATTTGTTACCACATGCACAAAACTACTTAACACTGCTTTTATTACAGTGTATTATTACAGTGCCTTTGTTATAGTGTATTGTTACACTATTATGGAGTTTGGATATTAACAAATTTTAAAATTCAAATAAAGTGATATATCCTAAAATAAACAAAATATTAAAGTTCTCCCATAAAATTAGGAGATATTTAATGCATAAATATAATTTGAAAATAAAATCACTTTTTTTAAAAAAAAATACATTAATCAAGGTGCATTAAAAATTTTGAATTAAATGACCAAAAATTTCAGCGCTTAAGGTAAATGTCTTGTTACATTTTTTAGGAAAGAAATTTTTACAAAATGACCATTTACGTCTATATATCTCTTTTGTGTATTTTTTTTTCAAAATATTTTGTTCTGTGTATTTTTTTATAATTATGTCTAATTTGGTGTACTGACTTTCAAATGATCCTTTATTTAGTCTAATGAATAATAGTTTAGATTAAAGAGTATGCCCAATTTTTTGTATATCTTTGGGGATGGTGGGCCCAATTGAAGACAATCTAAAAAAAAGGAAATTTAGAAGTTGTTACAAAAATTTAGACTTAATTGAGCTAAACTACATTAAAAATATTTATTTGTTCCTAAATGCATTTTTTTTCAAAAAAGACTATCTTCCCTATTTTCTCTTTATCTTTTTTTTTTTTTTTTTTGCAATTATGTAAAGATTTGATTCAATTTTTTCATTTATCTCATATTTTTTTTTCTCTCTCACTCTCTCTTCCCGTATTTTCTCTCATCGTTATTATTCTCTCTCCTTATATCAAGGTTACAATATCACAATTATACCAATCAATTATAATTACTTGTAATACACTAAACAGTTACTCACGTGTTCTAATAAATCAAACTGTTACACTAAACAATTACACAAAATTACAATACCCATCATGTGTTCTAATAAACCAAACTGTTACACTAAACAATTACACAAAATTACAATACCAACCCAATTCATCATTTAGTTGTTTATATAAACAAAATAATTACACAATTTAATATCATTGCATGGTTACACTAATTATATATACCAAATTGAGTTTATCATTATACACAAGACTTTACCATTATACCAAATTTCTTATAATTATATCGTAATACTAAATAGTATAATTCTTTAGTCTATATAAACAATTGAATGACAAATTGAGTTGGTGTTATAATTTCGTATAATTATTTAATGTAACTGTTTGATGTATTATAGAGTAATTATAACTAATTATTGTAATTAATTTATATAATTGTGTTGTTGTAACGTTGATATAAGGAAATAGAGAGAAAGCGAATAAGGACAAAAAGAGTGATGGTGAGAGATAGAGGGAGGGAGGGAGAGAGAGAGAGAATAGGAGAGATGAAAAAATCAAATTTTTACATATTTTAAAAGAAAATATATTATTAATAGGAGATAGAGAGAGAAAATAGGGAAGAGAATAGACATTAAGCATAATTTAAAGAAATGTAACTAGGTAAGAAAATTCAAGTATCATTTGAATTTTATACTTAATCCCAAGATATTTTATTAAAATTAAACTTAATATAGTAAAATACTTATCTATATCATTCATCTCAAATAAGTTTAAAAAAATATACCCACACTTAAAAAAATCCTAAAAAAAAAATAGCAAAACATATGCAGGTAAACAAAAAAATTTCAAGGGCCACGATAACCCAAATTACAGCCTACAAGGTCTGGGCCTTGGTTTCCTATGTCCTTTGCTTGTAAACTAATCTCTTTTAAACTAAAGAAATGCTATTTAGGTTTAATTTATTGATGTAATTTATTAATTTAATTTATTGTGACTTTTGGATTGATTATAAGGCCCATAAAATATTGGAATTTAGTATTGATCCAATTATTCTTATGAAGCCACATCATTATGTCAGCAAATTAGATCAAATTTTTAGGTCCAAATAACAATTATCTAAACTAAATCATGTGCATGCTAATAAAATTTTTTCTTTGAATTTTACAAGGATTTATACCATACTTAATCACGGTAGGATTTATACAATAACACTTAACGAATTTATCATGCTAAAAGTGGGTTATTTGATACTAACCTGCACCTTTCATAATTAATATATTAGTAGATGGCGTCAGTGTGAATTTATATCAAGCATACATGAAATATGCTAATTTATTATTACGTTCATAGCGAACATTTTGTATCGAAAACTACCACGCCTAAGCGGAGGCGAGCTATCCAATTTCCAGGAAGGGAGAGCCAGGCAATAAGGTGGCTGCTTGGGCCTGAAAAGCTAAAATTATAGCACAACTTCATCTTCTCTGTACACTTTCTTCATATCCTCCATGGCTACTTCTAAACCTGGAATAACATAGATTTGACCAAAATATAGACTCGATTGTCACCACTAAACCCAATCACAGAAGTAGATTATCATATTTTCTATGGAAAGTGATGTTTTCCATGTCGATGACTGGACAGTGATGTTTTCCATCCGCTGGATAGGGTGATGCTGCTGGTTTTCTCTCCCAAAAACTATGCAGTTGGTGGAGAAGTTGGTTAAGATGATAAAGTTTTGGTTAGCCTAATCTAATTTGATTTAATAGTTTTTATAAATAGTCATGGTTGCAGTTGAAAGGTCATAAATTTCCTAATGCTGCAATCCTTTCGAAAGTAGGTAAGGTGTGATATCCTTTGATCTGCCAATATAACAAAGGTTTAACAAAGATATGTTAGGGACACCTACTCCAAATTACCCAGTTGTCAACTAAAAATCAATTTCAAGTTGAGTTAATTTATTGAACTTCTTGAGTTCTTCTTTTTTTTTTTCATTTTTTCCCTTTTTTTTTTTTCATTTTTTATTATTATTTTAGAAGACAATTCCCACCCTATTCGTATAGGGGGTGAAGTTGACCATTTCTTGACACGAACCCGTATATGACACGACTCTGTTAACATGAATAATAAATGAGTTGAATTAGTGTTAAATATGAATAATATGAAATTGATATGATTAATACGTTTAAGTAATATTAAAAGAATAAAATATCAATTTTTTATTATATTTTATCAAGTAATGACCTAATTCTTGTATAAAAAAGATATTTTACTCATTTTTATTATTATATTTATTACGTTAATTTTTAGTTTATAGAAAAAGTATGAGTATATCTTTGATTAAGTAATAATGAAATTTTAGGCATAAAATTAAGCGTTTAATTTTTTATTCTCGTGTTATATGGGTCAATATGTACATAACACGAAAATAAATAGGTTGACATGATTAGTTAAACGGGGTTAAGTTATAGTTGACAAGTACTCGATACGAACACGACAGGATTGTCACCATTATCTAAATTTACTTAAGTTGAATAAGAATCTCTCTTGGAGTTTTAGTAACCACTTGCCAAAAAAAAAAAGATTTATTATAAACCTCTTACACAATCAATGAGATTATTAGGTTGAATATATATATCAAAGTCAAACAAATAATATTTAATGGTAAATAATAGGGTTAAATAATGGCTGATTAAATTGGACTGTTGGGCATGGATGTACACAAAAGATATAAAATAAGCCTTTATAAAATTGAGAAACAACTCACAAGCTATTTTGAATAAGGTGGGATTGTTGATGATGATAGAATCTAATTATTCTAAGGACAGAGGTTAGACATCCTATTATTTTGTAATTGATAATTATGTATTGTAAATAATACCACAAAATCAATGTATTGCGTGAATAAAGAACTACTTGGCTGATATATATAACAATGTATCAATGTTATATCTTCATATTATTGGTTGAGATGAAGTGACATATATACACTAGCAATTACTCGTGCTTGAAGGCACGACGTAACAAACAAAAAAATCGAAAATAAATATATGTGCATTAAGAGATTGTATGCCAAAAAAAATTGCCAATTAGAAAAACTAAGAAAAAATATTGATAAATATAATATGGGTCCATTATTTTTTTTAAAAAAAATTAATTGAATACAAATCAAAACAATGTCAAACATTATTCAATGGCCGTTTAATTATTGCTTGATATCCAAATGGTAGTAAATTCAAAAATCATTGTGGTATGAAAACAATCAAAAGAATGATGTGTTAATATTGTCGAGAAATAGATTTCAATTTTTTTGTTTTTGTTTTTTACTACAGAGAAGGAGAGAAAATATTTAATTTCAACTTTTATTTTTTTTACTGGGTGGAGAGAGAGAGAGAGAGGGTGGAAGTAAATATGATTTGATTTTTGAGTATTTTTTTATTTCTAAAATTTTAATGTTATGAATTGGATTATGAACACAAATTATTGCAATAAAAATTTTGATTGGATTTAATTTTTTGGAGTTTTTTTGTAGGACTTAAAATTTAATGGATTTAATTTTTTTCATGGGACAATGATATACCTAAATTTATGGGGCCTAAAGGCCATATTTTTTTCCCATACTATTGGGCCAATTTTGGGTGGCTATTTGTTGAGGGCAAAGATCGAAAGGAAGAATAAAGAAAGAAATAGATGGAGGTTGAGGAGAAAGGGGATATCAGAAATAATTGGCTTAAAAGATCGAGATGGATGCAGGTAATAAAAAAAATAATTAAATAATATAGTATCATCATTATATTAAATATTCTTGAGTGTCATGTGAAAAATTGATTCTATGATATGAAAAGAATATTATTTAGAGCAGCATGAGTGGTGGTTAAAATTTAAATATGAATATTAATTTTAGATTTGGACAAAATTGATTTTGGCAGATTGAGAAAAGAATTCAATGTAGGGGTGTCAATTATGGAAACTAAAAATTTTGAACAACAAAAATATTTCAAAAGGACTAATGTGGCACGTTGGATCAAAACGATTTGAGACGTCAATATCTTGACACAGTTTTGGATAACTCCGTCCATTGGATGATGACTTTTTTGGTTACAAAACGATTTGGGTCATTTTTTATTTCTAAAATTCAAATCGTTCTATTTTATTATATAGTATATACTAAAGGCAAGTGATAAAAACATTTAAAAGTGTACATAGTAATAAGTAGTAACCCATATTTTTTTATTTAAACAAACACATGACTTTTATCTTGAAAGGTTGAAATTTAGAGCTGAATAAATTTATTAATTTAATTTATTGACCTAATTCACTATAATTATTAGATTGACTGTAAATCTCATCAAACATTAAAATTTATTGTTAATGAAGTCACATGTTAGATTTTTAAGTCTTAATATCATTACTCAATTATCTAATGCATAATTCGATAGATTTATTTTTCTTTTTTAGTTTAATGGTCATAAGTATTCAGATCAATTTACACATATTTTAACTAAACTCTTCTTTAATCGGGTCACCATCTACGTTAAAATTAAAATTTTTATAAATGATAAAACTTTCACGGCAGACTTGAAAGGATTAGTAAAGTTTAAATTCAAGACAATACATTTTCAGCTTGAGGTTACTCAAGCTACCCCTTGAGGTAAGCTTGGGTTACTTATGGAGAGAAGAAAAGCAAAACTAAATACAGGTTGGTTGTGGGGTCCAATCACAAGGTTGGTGAGGCGAAAACACCTTATATACTACCCTTCAACTAGCCATTTTTCTCATCCCAAAACCTCTCTTGACCCGCCTCAGGAAAACTTCCTTCTTTAACAGTTTGATCACCCAGAAAACCAGACGCAAAATGGGTTCAACGGAGTACCAAATGAGTCCGGCGGAGGAGGAAGAGGAAGCTTGTATGTTTGCCATGCAACTTGCTAGTGCTTCAGTGCTTCCAATGGTCCTGAAATCAGCTTTGGAGCTTGATCTTCTTGAGACCATTGCCAATGCTGGCTCAGGTGCCTATCTCTCTCCTTCGGAACTCGCCGCTCAACTCCCGACGGAAAATCCCGATGCACCTGTCATGCTTGACCGGATTCTCAGGCTTCTCGCTAGCTACTCAGTTCTCAAATGCACTCTCAAAAACCTCCCCGGTGGCGGTGTTGAGAGGCTCTATGGCCTCGCACCGGTGTGTAAGTTTTTGACTAAAAACTCCGACGGTGTCTCCATCGCTCCTCTCGTGCTGATGAATCAAGACAAGGTCCTCATGGAGAGCTGGTAATTAAATTTTTCCTGCTGAAATTCAAGCATTTTTTAGACATATATACTCGACGTATTGTTATGTCAACAAATTAAGAGAAAGTCCTAATTTATAAAATGTTTATAATACCCTTATTTCGTTCTCTTAACCATTTGTAATGTTCATTACTTATGTCAATCGTATTTAACTACCCATAACTCTTTTTGTTATTGCACATGGATGACTTGTGTCCAACCCTCTACTAGTTTAAAAATGAATTGGGGTTGGGTCTTTCTTCTTCGCATCACATATACTACAGGCCATCCATTTGTTTTCATATTCTATAAGTTTGCCTCCCCTGCTGAAAATTAAGCGAGGTGAACAAAAATGATAGTATTCCAACCTTTCCTTCACTCTTACGTGAAAAGGATGCAAGGTCATCGTCACTTTCCCTTTTCTTTTTTATTAATTTGAAGAGTTGAAAGCCACCCTCGGATCACCTACCCCAAAGCATGCGATTTGGTCTGACTTTTAAGCAAGCATAAGTTTCATAACTTGGAAACATTATTCATTATACTCTCTTTTAAATAAAGGAACTAGCTAATTTGACATTTATGACCTTATACCTCGAGGGATATCTCAAATGGTAATAGAGATGAACTATAAACTTAGGCATTCTAAATTCGAATCTTAACAACTCTTTGAGACTAGACTATGAAAAATTTATTCCTTATAAATTTCTTAATCTGAGAGTAGATGGTTAATATTTAATCGAACCGAGAAAGAAATTAACGAAAGTGCGTGTAAGGTAGCCCCCATACCCGTGACTATTGAACTAAAAAAAAAGAAAAAATTTCAGTCACACTCCTCCTAGTTTATTATATTTTTAAAAACACTCCCTTTATTATCAAAAATATCACTTATTAAAATTCGTGTCAATTAAAATTCGATTTATTAAAATTTGAGCTAATCAAAATTTAAATTTTTTTATGTATTAAAATTTTGGCGGATTAAAATTCAATGCGAGTTTGATTAAAATTTGATTTGAGTTGATTAAAAATAATTTTTAATTGGTTCAAATAGAATTTTAATACGTAAAAAATATAATTTTTAATCGGCTCAAATTTTAATATGTAAGAAAAGAAATTTTAATTAGTTTGAATCGAATTTTAATAAATAAAAAAAATTAGAAAATAAAGGGGGTCTCATTGAAGATATATTTATTTAGAGGGGGTGTGGATGAAATTTGTTCTCAAATATATTATGGACAATTTAGTAAAATAACATTTTAGTTAATATTTTTAATTTGACAGGGGGTGTTAGTGAATATTCAGAAAATAGAGGGAATGTCCTTGAAGATATAGTAAACTAGAGGGGGTGTGGTTGAAATTTTTTCAAAAAAAAAAAAAAAGACATATATGACAATCAGTAATGCTGGAACATAATTTAAAATTTTAATGTATTGTAATCATTAGATTGATAGTATTGAGACCTAATGAAAATTTTAGGTGTTTAGTTGTTAATAATGAAGAACATGTAATATCTCCTTTTTTTTTTATACTTTTTGGGCATTTAGTTGCACGGAGTGTTCTGAAATATAAAGCCCATGTCACACCATGTAATAACAGACTTTTTTGTGCACCTGAAATATTTCTTGTTTAACCTTTGCTGTGGAAGTTCTATTTTTGTATCATATTTAATTATCTCCATTCAATGGACTATTAAATCACGTTAATATGATCTCGCCAGGCTACTGCATGAACCTTGCTGGATCTTGTTGTGCTCATGTTTCCTTTCTAGAAGAAGGGTTGATCAATTTAAGTAAACCAGATCAAGTGATAATATGTCATCAAGTCATCTGTTTAACATAATATGTTCTTACAACAGGTATTACTTGAAAGACGCAGTTCTTAATGGTGGAATTCCATTCAACAAGGCTTATGGGATGACCGCATTTGAGTACCACGGCACAGATATGAGATTCAACAAGGTCTTCAACCAGGGAATGTCTGATCACTCAACCATTACCATGAAGAAGATCCTTGAAACTTATAAAGGGTTCGAGGGTCTGTCATCAGTGGTTGACGTTGGTGGTGGCACAGGCGCTACACTTAACATGATAGTCTCTAAGTACCCCACTATCAAGGGGATTAACTTTGATTTGCCCCACGTTATCTCAGATGCTCCATCTTATGCCAGTGTGGAGCATGTTGGTGGAGACATGTTTGTCAACGTGCCAAAGGGGGATGCCATTTTTATGAAGGTAGGTTCGATTTCTTTGCAATCTTTACAGTTATATTGATTCAAGGAAAATCCCTCCACCTAAAATTTGGGTGTTAATACAAATGTGTTCGTACAGTGGATTTGTCATGACTGGAGCGACGAACATTGCCTGAAATTTTTGAAGAATTGCTATGAGGCACTTCCGAACAATGGGAAGGTCATCATTGCCGAATGCATTCTTCCGGAGGCTCCAGACAGTAAGCTTACGACTAGGAATGTCATTCTTATTGATGTTATCATGTTGGCTCATAACCCTGGAGGGAAAGAGAGGACCGAGAAGGAGTTTGAGGCACTGGCAAAGGGAGCTGGATTCCAAGGTTTCCGAAAAATGTGTTGTGCTTTCAATACATGGGTTATGGAATTTTTGAAATAGATGCGAGTCATTGGCTTGGGTTCGTTCCTATACCAAATGCTTGTGATTTAAGAGGATGTGAGAGTGTCTCTTTCCACTTGTGTATGCAATTAATAAAATAAAATTGTGATTTACGGCGATTGTTTCAACACTGTAAGTCCAACCTTTATAGTTTGGTGTTACGTGTGCAAATACTATTATATCAACTACTGCTGCTACTCCAGCTTACAATTTTGAGTTCTGGCCTCTAATTTGACTGCTTAATATGCTTCCCCCAAGCTTTATCTGCACTTAGTAGTGTTTTCACTAGGATAGCTACTGCCATCATGCCACAATTTCTTTTAGACACAACATCACACTATTGCACCAGACTTGGGTAAGTCACCAGGACATTCCATTCAAGCGATTGAAAGAGGAAATACCGATTGATAGATGTTGGACGGATGACTGTGTTATCAGATGAGCTGCTTTGTTAGACTAGTGTAAAGTGAAATGAACTCCCTAGCTTTAAAAGATCGCCATTTTTCGAAAGTGATTTCAGGTATTATTGTACTATAGAGTACCATATTTGAGCTAGTAGGACGATAGAAGAAAGAAGACATTTGGCCTGGATCCTTCAACATAACCTTTAGAATCCCCCCCTTCTTTTTCTCTTCTTCCTTAGAAAAGTTAAAAAAAAGCCCCTGTTGGAGATCACAAGAGATTGCTCGATATCCACAAATGCAAAGTTTGCTCATGCCATCTGCATCAAAATATCACGAGAAGAGAACATGTTTGTTTGTCTGAAGAATTTAAACAATAAAAAATTTTATCGCAAACATCAAGCATTCATAAAAACGCAGTGATATTCCATAAATTGCAACAATAAAACATAGTGTATGGACAAGATGACATAATTAAATTGCACCGAATTGATCAACACCAGAACCAAGTAGGAATTAGATATGAGTTCTAACAGCTGAATAATAATATTACATATCGATTTTACTTGCTAACTTACGTAAATATGACTGTGGCAACGCCATCTAATTTTGTCGCACTTTTATTTCAGGAATCTAACTTTGCGAAGGAAATAAGAATCCCCGTCGTGCTTTGGTATTGGTAGAATAACAGGAGCATCCTTCCACAACATAATGTGACAAACAGCAGCTGGAAGCAGAAAAATAATTGCAATGATATGAAATAGAATCACTGATTCTCACCAAATTCTCCGCCTAATCTTGGTGATGGATTCATGAATTGACACCCGAATAACCCACGGGAAAAATATTTGGTACTAATTGTACTTTTTATCCTGAAAGATTTAATAATTCTTACTTTGTATCTTCAAAAATCTAATTTCTTATGGTGTACTCTCGATGTATTAAAAGTGTTGTAATGTGACACTTCCCGTTAGTTTTCGTCAACGTCAATTGGGTGAATTTTGACGCAACGTAAGGATCACATTGCAACACAACACTTTTAATACATTAAGAATGAAATATAAAAAATCTAATCTTTTTGAGGATACAAAGTAAAAATTTAAATCTTTCAAGGCGCAGATTCAGACACTAGTTCTTAAAAAGTTCCAAGCAATGTTGGTCTAAGGTCCTGCTCCAAAACTTCTTGTAGTACTCTGCATATGTAAAACTCCTGTAAATGGCTGAAGACCCATCATTGGTGAGTTCATTTGGCGCCCTGATGATTGCCTCATTGCACGGGCAGAGAAAGGAGGCCACTGACATCCTTGGTTTATCTGCGTTGACAACTGCCCTGTGCAATACACTTTTATATTTCCCATTGCTCAGTGCCTACATTCAATCACTGTTACCGTTAATCCTCTAAAAGGATTATACATAAAATTAAAATGGGTCTTCACGATGTGTTTTAGTTAGGCTAATATCATCATATTGTGTTCAGAATAATGTTAATGATGAGTCAACCATTTGAACGCACATTTTAACAAACATCTTCAATGCACAAATTGAAAACTCTTGCTTCCATCATGACGTTCTACAAGATTTTTCAATCAAGTTCTCTCTAAATGTTTTTAGTGTAATGGATTAAAGGCAAGTCAATTTTACTGCATAAAAATGTAGCTCACCTGTAATTGATCCCCAATGTTAATGACAAAAGCATCTGGGTGGGGTTTGATATTCAACCACTTGTCGTCCTTGAAAACTTGAAGGCCTGAAACTTGTTGGTCTTGAAGGAGGATTGTGAGAGCATTGGGGTCTGTATGACCAGGCAATCCGTAAGTGAGCTCTGGTTCTGGGCAAGGTGGGTAGTAGTTGACGGCCATATGTTGTCCTTGATCACCCAACACATTCTTTATGGAGTCCCTGTCCAAGCCTAAACTCTCTGCTATAAGTTCCTGTAACCTGAATCCAAGTTCTCGAACTTGCATGCAGTATTTCGGAACAACATCCCTACCATTGCAATTGATTTTAGTATTAGATTATGAGTGGTGGTGTGATTACAATAAAAAAAAAAGTTTATCAAGATGGTTAGGTTTAAGAATAATAATATTAATACCTAAAAAAATTGATTTAATTTGTTAATATAATTATTTGATACTTGTTATTATCCGCAATTAACCTACAACGATTTGAATTTTTTTAGGATAAATCTAGCAAGTTATCCTAAATTTATCTCACGAGTAAATTACCCATTGTGTACTAATTAAATTATATATTTAGAGGGTATCATTTGTTAAAATTGAAAAAAAATTATATTAGACAAAATCTAAATCTAAATTAATCGAAAAAGTAAAGATGATTTAGAGCAACTCTAATACAACTCTCTATTTTAACTAATTAAAATATATTTAAATATTATATTCTCTATTTTAAAAAATCACTTTTATAAGTCTACTTCAACCGCGCCCTCAATTTTAAGTTTTTATTAAATTTATTTCAAATTTAGGTTAGTCAAGCTATTGTGTCATATCTGAAATTGAGCTTAAATTATAGACCCGAATTAATTAACATGATCTCAACCTAAATTGAATTCGAAATTAACTTGAACAATACTTGAGTTAAATATCAAAAATTAAAAGTTGAGCTTGGGCTGGGTTACGATTAAAATTTTTGCAACTTGAGTTGGACCTGAATTGATCCTCTAAACCGCCCGTATTTCACCCTTGCTTAGGAAGCTTAAAGCCAAGACATCCAAATGGAAGGAGAGGAGCTAGCCATCGGGTTAAGTCGGTGATAGTTCTCAACACAAGTATTAGGCCAGAAACTGGGAAGATAAATCTGAGTTAAATGACGATCAAAAAAAAAAAAATATTGGTTAAATGAGTTCTATTTAAATTTACCAGATCCAATACAATATATATATATATATTATTTTTTTTTTTTTTTGATAAATCACTTGTGATAAATTGAAATAAGATTCATTGCATATAAGTGAGTTCCTCGCTAATATACGGTGAGTGATTTGCTTAATTAGGAAAGAAAATGTATATTAAAGAGGATGTTAATTTGTGTGACTTGCATACATGAAAATTTCGGAATGGGTATACCATGCATATATAAAAACCTAGAACAACTTTTGAATTGCACCTCAAATTAATTTGAATTGATTCGGTGTGTACGTAATTATTTTTCCTGAATTATTCAGTCGTGCAATTTTTTTTTTTTGAACATGCTTCAATCGTGCAATTAATTTTGAACCTTTTTATATTTGGTCTGCTATATTCATTTCTTTTATACCCACCACATTAGTAATTAAATGTATCTCGTGTTATATACATCCTTTCAATAAAAAATACACCTTATATCTTTTTACAATTAGGGTTTCTTCAATATTTCATTTTATACACCTACAAAACAAATTTTCAATATAGATCTCTCCAGTGAGATATATATTATTATTACTTCTCAATTTAATTATATGATTGATTTCATGTGTTATGTGTTGATTTTTATTATTTTTTTTATGTTTTAATATCTTTGTCAAATATAATAATTTTTAATTATATTTATATATATATACTAGTTATTGTGTTGTGTCTGAAGGTACAAAGTAATTAAAAAAATGGTCGGTGGTAGGGGTGGTGGTACTTGTTGTGGCAAAGGTGGTGGTGGAGGTGGCAACAACGACCATGGTGATGGTAGTGGTGATGCTAGTGGACGATGACATATACTTCTCGGTGACAGTGTCATGGATGGTGGTGGTACGTTTGGTGGGGGATGGGTGACAATGGATTCCGATAGTGGTGAACGATTACGGGTGATTGTGATTGGTGTGGTGGGGTTGGGTGACAGTATTTGACAGTGATGGTGGATTGTGGTAGTGGGTGGTAGTAGGCAACAATAGTGGTTGTGGGTGTTGTCGGTGGATGCGATGGCAATGAAATGATGGTAGTAGTGATAATAAATGTAAGAATAAGATAACGATGATAATGGGTAGTGGCGGTGGCCAATAGTGTTAGCAATTGGTGATGGGTCGCGATAGTGGTAGTGGGGGTGACGGTGAGGTAGTTGGGAGAGGGTGGTGGTGATAGGGGTGATGATGAGACAGTGGCGACAATGACGATGAAGTGGTAGTCATTGTTGTGGCAGAAGTAGTGGTGAGATGGCAGTGGCGACGGCGGTAGTAGTGATGGTTGTGGTAATGGCGGTGGTGGTAGGGTGATTCTGAACACTATTTTTTTTGTTTAAATTACTATTAAGAAATTATAAATTTTAGAAGTACTTTTAAAAGTTACATCAAACACACATTTAGAGGTTTATTTTCCCTATTAAAGTTTGTGTGTTAACTATTAGAGTATGTGTGTCTCATATTTACTGTGTGTACAATGACAAGGAGGTAGATGTTGGAGCCGAGCTTGCGATGACATTTGTCTTGCGGGATTGATATATTTTATGTATAGGGGGGACGTCGATTAGTTGTGGGTGCGGGGGCAACGCCCCCATGGTATGGTACAAGGGTATTTTGTAAATACGTTTATACTAGAGTTATATAAATACTTAAAATGTAACCCTACTTTGAATAATTGGAAAAAACGGCCGCTCGTTCTTGTGGATGTAGACATATTGCCGAACCACGTAAATCTCTGTGTTATTTTCTCTTGCTTTCTTAATTGATTGATTTCTTATTATTCACCATAATTGCTGCATGGTCACAATAACTGGTATCAGAGCTAGATTACGATGTGTGGGATTTCTTCTACAAAATTCAACATGAATAACTTTAAAGTAAAATTTAAAGAGATCTTAATTGCAAAAAAAAATATTTTATTTATTTTTGAAATTTGAATTGTGATGATGCTTGAAAATAATGACTCAAGCCCAATCAACAACGTTTTAGGGATTTTAATAAGTTTGGTTGAGTAAGAGGTTGGTCCATGAAGAATAAAAAGGCACAAAGTGTAAGTGGTTCGTCTTAGCTGAGGGACTAATGCTACGTTCACTATAATGAAGTCTCTTGCTCTTTGAGACTGTATATTACGCAATCTTTGATGATTACAACGGTGTTACCAGCATTGGGTTCTTACAGGGAATATGTGTTTCTGCCCTAATTGCTATGTTGTTAGCTCGAGAGTGTAAAGGGGAATATCCTCTCTTATTAGGATCTATTTATACCAACGTTTTTCTCTAGGGTTTTTTGTAGCTCCTCCTTCCCGCTTGCTGATTTGGTGGGTCTTTCCGTTGTGTCCTGTAGCAATCTCTGTCATTCGGCGCACCTATTCCCACAATCTCTGGATGATTATGCACACCAACACCATCTGCTCCAAGAAATGTGTGATTGCCATGGGTGTCAAGAGTGATCCCTTTTTCTCTAGGTTACGTGGGGCGATGGGAGTATTCCAAGGAAGGTATTGGACTAGGCTTCCATATTTCGGGTTATCCTATGGTTGGATCAGATCAGGACTGGGTTAGACCTTAGTTCTTCTAGTGGTGTTGGGCTTTACCCTTAGGATGTGGTCCAGTCTGCCCTGGGCATTAACAGGCCATGGGTGCCCCTATACGGGCCACTATGCAAGCAAGACTTTTCTAAGCTTATCAGGTTGTTTGATAATAATGGGCCATACTCAGGATTTCATTCTTATCAAATTATATTATCCTTTATTTTATATATATATATACACACACATTCAGATTAGACTAAACTATGGACATAGAATTCTAGAAGCTTGTAGTCCAATTCTATTAAGAGTAGAATTGGTGTTTTCTATTAGAATTAAAATTAAGTTTATTTTATTGTTTTAAAAAGTTGTAGTAGCTATGGTCTTTGTAATAAAGTCGCAGATTTCAAAAAGAAAACTAATGGTCTTGTTTCATTTATTTTTTTCCAGTGATGTTTTCTTCCTTTGTTTTCTTAATTTTGTCACATATTGATTATTCTTTTTTGTTTTCTTTTGAGTATTAGTACAATTTATGTTTGTGAGATTATTTTGAACGTTTAATATTTTTTTAGATTTTACATAATTTACATGCAAATAGAAAACATATTTCTAACATTATACCAGAGAATTGTAACTCATTCATATGTGTACCCTTCTAATTGTAAGAAGATATAACATGAATTTATTTATTAAAAGAATATATATAGCGTGAAGAAAACTTAGTTACAAATGAGGTAAATTTAAAAATAATAAATTTATAAATTTATAATAAAAAATTAAATAAAATAGGAATAAATATTCCTAGAGTGGGAATAGCTCACCCAACTTCCTCCCTTCCCCAAATATATACCCATACTGCATCCTTGAATGATTAACCACTTGCGCAATCCAACGACATCAGCTTCTCCCTGAAAGTCAGAGATGCTCCTCCGACCCCGCATGCGTTGTCAACTACACTTATCACATAAACTACAACAAAACCCCCCATTTTTCCAAAATGTTTTCTTGACTTATGCACTAATAACGATCATGATTTCATGAATCAATGATGAAAATTTATAATATTTCTTATGAGTTTTCGAAACGTTTTTATATTCGAGCTGTTTGTTTGTACATGCACCTATAAAATCATTTGCGTTTAAATATTCAATACAATTACTTTCACATTATTATTTTTTTAATTCCATTTATGGGCCCACTATTAGCGGACTGAGTCATGGTTACCTGCCATAAACAGCTGACTTCACATTCTTCAACGTTCAAACTACGCTACGCTACGCTCATAAATAGTTACAGTGTGCGTGGAATAATGTATCCATGTTTATTTATTAATGATTAGTGATATTAAGTTTACGCTAGTATATATTAGTGTATATGTTGATTTATTATTGATAGGTGATATTATCTTTACATTCAATATTGGAGAGAGACAGAGAGAGGTGTTTGTGTTCTTACTTGAAGGAAGAAGGATTGGAGGGCCATTCAGGGACATACGTGTCCAAAGGATGACAATGAAGCCTGAGATAGTCTCTCCAGTTGTGAACAGTTTCCTTTTTCACATTAAAACTGGTAGACAGCCTCATGGTCTTTGAAGGGTCATCAGAGTACAACTTCAGCTTCTCTTCAACTGGTAACCCAAAGAATTCATGGGCAACCTCTACCATTCTCTCTATTGCTTCCATTGATACTCCATGGTTTACCACCTGATGATGCACAAATTTACAAAGCAAAAACCATTTTTATTATTAAAAAAAAAAAAAAGGAAATAAATGGGTAGGGAAAATGACAATTAAAACAACCAAAAATAATGAAAATTTCATTTTAAAGAAAAAACAAAGAACCTGGAAAAGGCCGTATTCCTGACAAGCATGGCTTATTTGTTGGACTATTAGATTTCTATCTCCACAACCCAAGTCAATTACCAGAACGTTTTCGCAGTCGGCAACTTGGGAGAGATTTGGTCTTTCGGATTCTGGCCGGACATAACTTTTTGGGAGGCTTGTGTATCGGATTCCAGTGGAGATGACTTTTGTTTCCATAGATTCCGGAGACAAGAGGGAGAGAAAGAGAGAGAGAAAAGAGTGGACTGCTAGAAGTGCAGCATCCTATTAGGTGCGGCTGAGCAGCTTCGAGGAAGGTGATGAATTTATGAGTTAAGAACAATGTGCAAACTTATAGTGGAACATAAATTTAAAAAAGTAGATTTAATAATTATAACTTTTGATTTTATTGTAGGTCTCAGTATTTATTAGAAGTCATTATTTATTAAATAGTTGAGATTATCAAATCTACTTTTTAAATTCATCTAACATACTATTTAAACAAAAAAAAATTTCCCGTAAGTTATTTGGACATAAAGTTAAGGAAGTAAACTTTATTAATTCAAGGTCCTCAAATTAAATTTTAACATCATTGCTCATTATTGGAATTACCTCTAAACATTAAATGAAATCTATAATCAATTCAATGATAAAAAAATATTAAATTGTAAAATTTAATATAAGTAAAATTATTGGACTTAACTTGTTTAGGGGAAAAATTACAGTTTAAAAAAATTCGTAAAAAAAGTTAGTTAAAAAAAATCCTCTAAAACTATTTGGGGTATTTTTTAAAAAATTGAAAAAGTTAAAAAAATCTATTTAAAATAACTCTCTAGTTTTTTGTGTTAAAATAAAAAAATAATTACATGTATGTATAGATTATGCATAATAGCTCCCAAGATATGAAATTTAATTTTTTTTACGTCAATAATAATTTTTTGTAAATATAATAAATTAAAAAGTTATGTGAGATTCGCGACAAAATTTTTAAAAAATTTATGAATATAATACACTAAAAAATTAAGTAGACCCGCAACAAAACTTCAAAAAGCCAAAAGAAGAGCTTATTAAATCAACTTATTAAATCAGCATAAATAAGCATTTTGGGATCAATAAGACTTTAGTTTAATGGTACTCTTTAACTTATAAAAATTTTATTTTATTGAGGTCAAGAGTTCAAATTCCATTAAAAAAAAAAAAGCTTTTTTTGGGTCCAAAAACTTACTACATAAGCTGGTAAAAAAGTGAAAGTTCAAACGATTTGACTTATTTTATTCCAAAATTCTTAAAAACAGTGGGCCTATTTCGTTTGGTCTTCAAAAATAGTTTTTTTTTCTCAAAACTCTAAACACAAGAAGATGATGTTTGTTTAGCTTTTTTGTTCTTCAATTTTTTAAATATTTTGAAAAATAAGATGTGATTTTAGAGAACAACAAAATGATGTTTTCATTATTTTTTAAGATAAAATGAAAACATGAAAAACACACATTATCGCCAAATTAATAAGGTATCCCCTTCAAGTTTCGTTGGAGACAAAAAATGTGATTGGCTGTTCATCTTCTCCACCACGCTCTCTCTCTCTCTCGCAACTTTCCCTCTTTCCTTCCTTCTTTTTAACCAGCTTCAGACTGTGTATATATATAAATCTATGCGCGTCTATGTGCGTGAAAACTCATCTCCTCTATCTATCTTTTTGTGCAATAAATCTGTATATATACAGATCTGTGTATGTATGTATGATATATATACACACACACATATGTGTTGTGTGATGTATATGAGTGTGTGTGTTTGTTTTTACTAGGTGAGAAGATAACACAGAGAGAGAGAGAGAGAGAGAGAGATGATTGTTGTGTGGAAGACAATGGAGAAAGAGGAAAACTTGCTGTGTGAAAAGAAAATGGACAAAGAGAGAAAGATGTTGTGTGAGAAGGCGATGGACGTGACTCCTTGGAGTGATAAGTTTTTTTTTTTGTTTTTTATCAGAAGTGATAAGTTAAAAATTAATTTTATAAATCAGTGTCCAAACAAGTTTTACTATTTTTTGTTCTTTAAAATTATTTTAAAAAATATATAACTAAACAGGTTTTGCAATCTAAAATTTTAAAAAAAAACTTTCTTGAAACTCTTTCCAAAAATAATTTTTAAATACCGTTTTTTGTGATACAAATCAAATGGGCCCTACATATTTAAGTTAACTCCAAATAAATCTTTTTTCTTTTAACTTTACGAGAATATTAAGTCCCCCATGGTTGATTGATCTTAGGTGCCACTACAAATTTACTTTATAAAGTAGAAGAAAAGTGCAATTATCCCTTTTTGCCCAACAAAGCTAATAGCCTGCCGAAGTGTATTTACAATTTAAGCCCTACACTACAAGCTAATTACTTGAGTTACCACCATGACAGAACCCATGTTATGCACTTATTGGTGATAGGTCACCGCCGTGGAAGCTCAACCATCAAGGGTACAATGCTCCAATCAGTGGGTCAAGCCACAAGTCCACGTTACTATGGTATATTCTATTACGAGGAATCTTGTTTAGCCCTAATTTGTAAATTTAATTATTAAATTATACTATTTTTGGGCTAACTTCAACAATTAATACATCCGTGATGTTATTATCGTTTGATAGCAATGGATTTTATTATTAAATGAAAGTCATTGTTAACCCAATAACATAAATATATCAAGGACTCACGTAATCCGATTTGTTGTTTAAATTTAACTTGTGGCTAACATGGTTGATGCCGACACGGACGTTGGGAATGTAACATGTGGTTCTAGTTTTTATCAATGGTATCTAAGTCTGAAAAATTTGTGTCTCCTTTAAGTTTGTATTTAGTGCCAAATTCGTGACTCAAAAGGGCCAGTGTCCGCGATGGAAAAAACATGCATGCATTCTGCGACATTCATATGATAGAGATTTTTTTGAATTGTCATATTTTTTTTCACTTACACTATACAAAAAATCTATATACACATGAATGAATTGACAAATGTTATAAAGAAGATCAGATCTAATTGAGTGAATATTGTAAGGCGAATCATGTTACTGTGTCAGGGGTGGAGCCACCCTTGGGCTAGGGTGGGCACATTTCCCCCCACCCCTACCCAATTGTTCTTTTTGTTTCATACTAAACATGTATTTTTTGAAATAAAATTTAGATATGACCATCATAATATTGTGTTCTGGTGATATTGATTTGAATAGACTCCTATCTAAATAATTATTAACTTTTTGAACAATGTTATTGAAACCTAATTTAAGGACCTAATACATTGCGATATTAAATATAATAATAATTAAATATTTAATAAACTCTACTATCTATCTAACTGTCACAAACCATTGGAATTCTATCAATTAAATCTCAAATTAAGTACAATTAATATAATTGTTAACTTTTAGGCATGTTCGGATATGTTTTGAATATATTGATGTTATTTTTTAATTTTTTTAAATTATAGAATTATTTCGTTATTCTATAAAAATGTGTGTCGTTATGTAGTATATTATAGGATTATAAATTAAAGATTATTACTACGATTTTGTATATATAAAAAATATTGTCGATAAAATTAATTCGTAACTCTTTCAAATAATAAAAACATATCAGAGTCAATTGTATGTAATAATAATTAATCGCATTCTCGATAAAAAATTTTAATTATTATTTTTTTGTTCATGTTATGTATATCGATTTTTAATCTTCTATGTTTAAAAAGTATTAAATATAATTTTAATAAATATAAATTTATGAATTAAAAAAAATCAAAACGTACTACTGTGTCCACCTAAAAATTTTTGCTGACTCCGCCCCCGTACTGTCTGGGCCCCTACTAGGGGCAAAACGTTCATTTCATACAATTATATTTGTATAAAATTCAAGACCATTGGATCAGACAAAACCATGGACCTTGAATGTGTTTTGTGCCGTCTCGTGGGGGTTGGAAGTGGACGCACTTTTGATTAAGAGCTTTCGGTCAGACAATTGCTATGGAAGCATGAAAGGCGTCATTTGAGTAGGACAAGTCAGACGCTCAAACAAAAAGTAGGACAAGTTCATAAATATATCGGCACCAGATCAACATGCCATGCCATGCCACGTTCATTGTCTTATTTAATAAGTCTTTTGCAAGTCAACAAATTGCCCAGTAGCCACTTTGCCACCGATTCTACTCCCTTATCCTGCCACCCATACTTTGATCTCTCGTTTTCATTGAGTTATCCCAAGTGATTCTCTCTGTGTGTGTGTGGAAAAAATGACCCCATTAATCTATGCATTCGAATATACAACTTTAGTTCAAGATATGCACAAAACTTTGTTGATTATAGTCTAAAGAGAGTTGTTGAGGATTTAAAACAATTTAGTCTCAAAAGAAAAAAAATATTCTCACGATATAAAGGAAAAAACGATTACGTTTCTCATATCACAATCGACTGGGATGGATGCATTTGTCTTTTATCTACCTATATGATATAATTTAATCCAAGATCATTCTATTTTCCTTACACCCCTTGGTTATTGAGTTCTTTGATTTAGGAGTGTTAGTTGTTAAAAGGTATCACGAATCTTATATTATTGGTTCCAGTCCATATATACTTCTTTTCTTATCTATTTTATTTCCCTTGATTGTTTCTCTGAATTTTATCCCAACAATTCTAAAAAAAGCGCGAGTCCAACTGAATTTTTAACATTTTTTAAGAGTTGCATGTTTTGTAGAAGGCATCAATTAGCTTAAAAACGTCAATTAAACATCACATTTTTAAAAACTATTTGAGTTTGAAAAATAGTTTCAAAACTACCCTATTTCTAGAATTATTCTATCAAACCACATGGGTTTGGTGAAAAAAACACTCCTCCAATAATACTAGAAGGACATGATATTTACTTTTAGGGTAAATTACACTTTACTATGTTGAACTATTATTTTTATTTCATTTATACTTTCAATTATAAAATTTCTCACATTATATCCTAAAATATAAATTTTGTTTCATATCATTTTAATAAATAATAGTTGTCAATTTTTTTACGATAAATATGCATGTGAGTGGTCTGTATTACCAATAAGCAGTAGCTTATTACACATAAAAATCAAGAAAAATATTCATCTATGACTTTTCTCTTCTTAAGCTCCAAATTTTCTTCCTTTGGCCGACTTTTTTTTTTTCTTTCCAACAATCATTTAGTTGCAAAAGAGGTAAAATAAAT